TAAGTGCTCTTTGCATTGTCTCAGAAGTAGTTTGTAAGTTTTTCCCAATGACTACGAATACTATATCATCTGAGTAGCCCTGGGCATGAATATTTCTTTTATTGAGGTCTACTAGGAGTTCGTCTACGACCAGGTCCCACAGTAGAGGGGATAGGACCCCACCCTGTGGGCAGCCTTTTGCTGCAAGGGCTACGTCCTTTTCTTTCTATCATTTGCGCGCTCTATTCTTGCCATCAGTTGGTGTAGGGCCGTTCCGCAAAATTTACCCAATTGATAGGCATGTTGGTTTTGGTGTAGTGGCTTTTCTTTAAGAAAAGTTTCCCTGACATGTTTATCAATGGGTTTTTCAATCATCTTCATAATAAAGGACGATAGTGTAATTGGTCTAAACTTTCCCAGGTTTTGGCAAAGACCATTCTGGCCTTTCCTCATGTTTGGGGTAGTTATATATCCTGTTCCTAGGCTAGCTCTTAGTAGCCTGCAGAGTGGCGGTAATATGATGAACTTGCCCTACTGGAGTAGAGCATAGGTATAATGCCATCGGGCACTGGCGATTTAAGGTAGCCGGCCACCGCGAGCGAAACGGAACTAAGCTGTGCTAGACGAAGCTAACGGTTACTAAACTGAACTAAGTTTGAGCGGCCACTGGGAACGATTGTAGTTCTCAGCTGTGTTTTCATGCGGAAAGACCTATACAATTATTTAAAAAATTAGAATGAGTCCTGTTACAACAAAAATGAATCTGTATTCGGAGTCATCATCTGTAGAATCATACTTTTTGGAAAATATTGCAGTGTAGTTTTGTTTTTAAATGAGCATTGTTTTGAATTTGTGTCGTGTATAATACAATCTGTTTTCGAACACATTCCATTAACATTATTAACAATTCACTTTGTGATATTTGGCAGGGCACCATAAAATCATGTGCACACACAGAATAAATAAATAATAAATTGGCAGCGAAAAACTTCGTTCGAATTTGACACGAGCTAAATCGTAAGAAACGAAACTAAGATTTTAATCTCCGTTGACAAATATTCGCTTAGTTTAGCTAAAATGTCTGAGGGTATATTTAAAAGTATAGTAACTAATTTAATAAAAACTTATCTTCGCTTAGCTTAGTTTCGTTTCGCTTGCAGTGGCCGCCAGCCTATGCTTAAAAAGAGTTTATTGCCCATTCTATTAGGCGATTCGAATCAGCTGATAATTCAAGATTGCGATGCGGCACGAATGTAAACAAACCATTGAGGTTGAACATTGTCTTCATCATTGACCATATAAATGTGTGTTATTTCTACCCATTTCAGAGTTATTTTGATAAATTCTAATTTATTTCAATTTCCTTTAATTTTCGTAGTTAAACCCGAGTTACTTGGAATATTTAATCTACCAATAAAATACCTGGGCATCAGGTACAAAACGGCCTCAAGTAGGTAAAAAGGCCTAAATATAGGTGCTAAATATACTGTAATGGCAAAAACTCACTAAACACTGTAGTTCACTCTAAATTCATGAATGGCATCTTTAAATATACTTTGCAAATCTCGACATTTATAACAAATATAAAGTGTGTCGGAGGCAAATGAATGTCAAAAACATAAATTGCATGAACCACAGCAACGCCAAAAATAAAAATTTCTATCAAAAAACGTTCTCAAACTGATAAAAACCCTTTAGAAATTCACAGAAAAGACGGTTATGCTGCGGCGCCATCTTGTACGTCAAACATCAGATCGCACTATTTTTTCATAGGTTATGATCTCTTTTGCTGTGTCCCAGTTCTCTTAAGTAGTCTTGATTTTGTGATTACTATGAATTGGTAAGTTTCTTTCTGTTTTGATTTCGACTGATTCTGAGAGGTGGAGTGTACATAGGATCTACAGAGTCTCTCTTCCAGAATCTGTGTAGGTGCCATTTGGTTTTTTAAGGGTCCCACTGGATGTAAGGGATCCTTGGACATAATTTTTTGGAGTCTCGCTGCTACCTCGGTGTTTTCAATCTTTTGCCAGTATTTCCTCCATGATTCGATTTTTGCCTTCCGGATCTGACTATTATACGTGGTTAAGGTGGAGTGGTAGTCGTCCCACCTGCCCGTTTTTTTCGCTCTGTTGTACAGTTTGCGTGTTTTTCGTCCTGAGATCTGAAAGTTCTTTGTTCCACCACTAGAGTTTTGCTTTTTCATGGGACAGTTGTTCTGATAAGAGGTTATTATAGCCTACTGTAGTTGACTGGCTGCCAGCTTTATATCAGTGGCGTTTTTGATATCAGTTTTGACCTGGTTGCATTTAGTAAGCGGACCTTCCACGTATCCCTCCCAGTTCGTCTTCGAATCACGAAACTGCTCTGCTGGTCTCTCATCTTGTGAGATTTCCATGCAGATATGTCTGTGATCAGACAGGGAAGATTCTCCTGACACGCACCAAGAAGTTATCTGGGAGCTTATACGGGGAGAGGCCAAATTAATATCTAGAACCTCTCCACGAGTTCTTGTAGCAAAATTAGGTTCATTACCCCCATAAAGAATTTCTAAATTTTCAGAAATGATGTAGTCTAATAGGTACTGACTTCTAAGTTCTAAAATTGACGTCGCTGCTACCCCACACAGTATGGTGTGCGTTTGCATCCATTCCCACTATCATCTGCAGGTTTAATTGCCTGCAGTATTGCTCCCGCATGCAGAGTTCGAGTAGGTAGGTTGAAGCGAGGACGGCTTCGAACCGTGCACCTGCCATATTTAGTTCCAGCCTAACAGCCGCTTGGTCCCTAAAACAGAGATCGGTTAGTTTTAAGGCATGTGCTTCATTTTCAACAAATCTGCAACTCTCCCCCTGAATAGCCAGGGTTTCTGGATCATGGCTACGTCGATGTTCTCTGAGAGAAGGGTCCTGCAAAGGATGGCCGTGATCGCCTTATTGTGCTGCAGGTTTGCTTGGAGCACCCGCATCTTCTGCATCGCCCTTGTGTTGTTTAGTCGCCTTGAAGGAGACTTGGCTCAGTCATAGATCTTCTCCAATGTCTTCAAGGCGTTCTCATCCATGGCAAGAACAAGGGTAGTGCCGTTCTTTTCAGCCCGGCTGCCTACTATCCTCCACTCCTCCGTGTTAAGATCACCGTTCTGGATCTCAACGAGCTCGAGGATGTTGGGACCCACAGTAGAACACCGGCAGTTTTGGACACGTTTTTGGCGACATCAACCCTAAGGGCTGCTGCCTCACAGGGTTTTAGTGTGGGTACCATTTTCAGGAGCGAAATCTTGGACTCCTGGTTGGCACCAACCACAAAGAGCACCCCCTAGGAAGTGGCTGTTTGTTAAATCTGTGGCCCTTTGGCCGATAGGGATTTCCAAATCTCCCGGGCTAGAGCCAGCTGGATGAGCTTAGACTGCTCGGGCGTGAGTTTCTCCTCCGGATATTTGTCCAGAGTCACAGCTATTTTGACACCTGTGGGAGCTTGTTTGAAGGTTGATGCCCTAGTTGAGGTACTGGCTCTATCCTTCAGATCACATTTGCTCTTTTTGGCTTATGTGCCCTGTTAGGAGCGCCTTCGTTTGCCTGAGGAGGGGTTGTCAGCCCTCTCTGCCTGTTTATGGCTACTTGGTGGTTTTTCAGCCTCCACATTAGCCTGGCCTTTCGGTTTCCTATTTGTCCGCTGTTTTCTGGGTTTAATAGGATCCCCTCTCGTCTTTGCAGCAGCTATAGCCTGCTTACGGCGTTGCGCACCTGACATACGCTTTTTCTCCAGATCCAGCTTGCGCAGATCCAAGCAATCTCCTTTAGGTTTTCCCCTGCAGGGTTTGCCTTGGGTGTTTGCGGCTGGGGGTTTGCAGAAGTAGGTTCGAAGCCTACTGATGCGCCTCCAGATTTTTCGCTTCCAGATGGAGGTGAGTTTTGTTGGGCCTCAGTTTCCATTGGTGGCGGGGTCTTTGTTTGTTTATTTCTGTGTCTTCCATAGTTGGTCCCACGAGTATCGACTTTTCATAAGATCCGTCTGGTGGTCCGGGTAAGGCTACTTACTCTGGGGAGGTCGGCCGGTATCCCAGAGGTTCCGTTCAAGACATCTGTTTGGGGCACAGATGCCACTCAGCCCTCGGCACGGGTCACTTAACACCTTGGATTAAGCCCCTGCCAGAGCCCCATTACCCGCCCAGGCGTTTTCAGCCTAGACGTTACCAGCCAGTACCGCGTGGAAGAGGGGATGGACTTTCAACCAGCCAAACGTCGAACCTTACTTTAGACTTTTCTTTATGGATATCGGTTCTGGCTCAAGCAATTTTATAATATAATATTCCATTCTGTAGTTGAGGCCTCGTATGTAGTTGGGGATTAGCTGTATTGGATTATAAAAAGTCTCAGGGGGCCTATTCGACGTATGGCCAAAGATTAATTCAATGTGTGTGAACTTTTGGCGTTGCAAAATCTCTATTTCTGAAAGTTGTAGTGATTCGTTATCGTCGATAAAGATAACCAATAACTGATCAAAAAATTGCTCTTATTTTGAAAGGTGTAAGAAGTCTCTACTGAGGCTGCCAATTTTTTTATAATACTCGTACTCGGAGTGAATGCCTATGATGATTTACAATGAACTGATGGAAATTCACATTAATAACGTAACCTCAAAATTGAATGCTTTTATATTTTATTATATTGCAATTCTCTTATAAAATTGCATAATCCTCTATTTAACAATTTAGGATTCACAACTTTCAAAAATCCATCAATTTCCATTCAACGTGTAGGTATTTGATTTAGGTATACAATACATAGGTATAAATGTTGAAGTCGACCGCGAAACAACGCTGAAGACTGATAGCAGTGATAGCAGCTTCTGATTGATGTTCCCGGGCTATTCACTTTACGATTTCGCGCTCTGCATGTAAAGTTTTGGTTACATTGATGCAAGGAAGTGTGATTTTGGGGTCGTTTGTAAAATTTATTTCATGTCCCTCATATCTAAATATGTGGCATTTTTAAACATCAATATAATAATACGATTTATTGCAGGGATTATAAAGAGCATGGCGGTAAAAAAAGAGATGAGACAAGCTTAAGACGAGATAAATCTACCGCTTCCACTCCTAGTTTGTCTTTAAATTTGAGGTAAGCGTGATTGTTTTTATTTTCAATTAAAATTAATCAAAACATAAAGTGAACATTGTATGATGACTTGATCATATTGAACTTGAGAGTAGATGTACATACCTACATGCTTGAAATATTTCATTATCCTATGCTGGGTATGTTCTGTTGCATGCTACGTTTATTTTACATTATCATTATCCGATTTCGGACCGAAAAAAAATGCGCAAAACTAGTTTGAACATATTTAATTTTTCTAAATTAGGTATAGTTTTCCAGATTTTCGATTGCTCTAAACTAGTTCAGAGAGGTTTCTGTGTAACTATTTCATACAGGAATTCCGCAAGTCAACTAAAAATTTCTTTACTAACAGCAACAACTTTTATTGAACTAATTGACAACAAAATTCGCCAATTACTTATCGTTTTTACGTAACTCTATTGAACAATAATTATCCGATATTCACTAAACTCAAACTACACGCTTTATATGCGAAACTAGTTAAACCTGAAAATCCTAGAATTCGCCATACTCGCAAAATTTTGCTATTTAAAGCACACATTTGGTACGAATTCCTGAATAATAATGCACCGGTCGTGCACAGTCGCGACGGCTTCTCCGCACAGTAATTTCCTCGTCCTATACTGATCATTTATTCTCTTGATAAACCTTCAACCTCTTACCTTTGGATACACGTTGGATTATCTAATCCAACTAGGTCGTTGAGTCTTTTTATATTCTTGTATACAAGTCGTCCCATACTTGTGAAGCTTCGGGGATCTACCTTTTTTACTTTGAGGATTGTAGAGCCAATCTCTGTAATTCTTCTGGAAACTTCACTTGCGAAGTCTCTTGTTTCTCTAACTATTTCATGAATGTCAAGCAACCGTTTCCGCAATCCTCCAGCATGGTCTCCGACTTCCATGTCGTCAATATCTATAAGCCCGCACACCAAGGCACAGGATAAACGAAGCTCTCTTCCAAATGACGCCTTTGCTGGTGTAACTCCTGTTGTGTAAGATATGTACAGCTGACTGTTATGCCATCAGAAATAGAAGTACTATGGGATTCCAAGTGTATTAAAAACTTTGTTGATGAATTTTGCTACTGTAGATGCTTCTTGGTTTGGAATAGCGGAAGCTCTAGGCTACATGCTGAAATAGTCCATGGCAACCAGGATATATTTTTTAACACTGCGCGACGCAGGGAATGGACCAGATATCTCTATTGCCTTTTGTTCTAAGGGTTCTCCTACGTTGTTGTTCTTTTTTTTCTTGTATTGACACAGCTCTGAACTTTGGTTTGGATATCGTATAGGCCACTGCTATCTGGTGGTGTGGTTGAGTAAATTCGTACCTCTAATTCGATTGATGAAATTTTCGGATGCTCTTGCTCTCGCATTCCTGCTGTTGTTTCCAGATAGGCCAAATTAACAAACGGAGAATATGGGTTACAAATTCTTGTTTCGAGAGCTTTCTGTTGTCTTGTTCTTAGAACAACTAAAAATTTCGTCGATTTCAATCCCGATAACGACGATCTGGCGCATTTACAAGCGCAACATAGTTTTGTTGGGAAGCTGGCGGAAAGGTATAGATCTAATGCAGGGCTACGCAATGCTACAATCAAGCATGTAGCCATATCATCAGAACTTCAATCAGTATCCGCCTGTACATACACCGCCCATGATTATTAACCGTGACCTGGTGGTGTTTAAGCTTTATTGTCCGTTGCAGACGGACCTGATATATCAAGTCAGATTCGCACTTTTTCATTTTCTCAACACTATCCATTGCTACGCGGAATGTTCCAAACTGCCTGGTGAACACTCCCAACTCCTGTCCGTACTTCTTTCATGACATCTGGTCTCGCTGAAGTGAACAGATATTTATCTTCACTCCCAATCAATAGTTTTTGACTGAAATTTTCTTTCGTAAATATTCAATTTAAATATAATTAATGTGGGTATTTTCAATAAGTACGCTCTATTTTTAATTTTATTGTTTTTTGTTATTGGTTTGAGCAACTATTATCTTATTATAATTCATAAAATTGTTTATACTAAATGATACGTCAGCAACTGTCCATTATACCGTGAGTTCGTCTTGAAACACTGAGCGCTCTGAGCATTTTCCTTTTGATGAAAAGAACAGGGATAAAATAACAAAACAGCAGCTCCGAGCGTCTACTCGAACTCTACCATAATTACCCGTTAGCTGTGTTTATCCACGTTTTTCTCTAATTTTTTTAAATTTTATCATTTATTAGAATTGGTTTACTTAGCTTAAATTTAATAATTAGCTCAGCATTACATAAATAAAACTATATACTTACTAATTATGACCGAAGAAGGTTATTCGAAAGGCCAATCTTCCATTTGTTGATATGTTTATGGATGGTAGCAAATTTTATTAAACATAGTGAATGTTTCTCCCTCGAAGAAGTTCGTGGTGTTGAAGCAAATAAGTAAGTAGATATAGTTTTTTTTTTTTTCTGTAGTACCTACAAAAAATGTTATTCTTTTTTGAATTTAAATCGTTTTATCCCATTAAGATTGTCACCAGACAGTACTTAAAGTATGTGCGAGTCTTTTCTTCCATTATAACTTCAAAGTTTACAACTCGCCGCAACACAAAACAACAACAAAACAAATAATGGTGGAAATCAACCAAATCAAATGCAATTAAATATGACGTTTGACGCAAAATCATACTACGTGACGTCATCCGAATTGGCGCGCTTTGAAGGTCGTTTGAAATGCTTTTAATACGCGCGAAACTTCAAACATTTTTTACCAAGTTATTATTGAGTTTTAGGGGGTAATATTTGGGGAATACTCTTTCAAGGCATAAATAAATGATTTTTTTGAAAGAAAAAAAAAATGTCAAGTTCCCTATTCTATTGAACCAAAATTATATACCCATTATCAATTCCAAGTCAACGAAGTCCCCAATTCTTTGTAAATTAGCCACCTCAAGTATTCTAATATTTTTATATGGACCGGACTTCCAAATAAATATTTATGCCATATTGTCACGGATTGCGGGTTCACTAAAACTCACTTCACAAACAGTAACAACTTTTATTAAACTAAGACATTATATAAAATTGACTTATTAAACTTCTAACTTATTACTACGTGCTATTTATAGTCGAAATCGCACTCCGGATCTATCTAGAAAAACATCGAATCCAATATAATAGATTTTCCAGAGAAAGGCGCGCTACCCGACGTAAACAAGTACCTAATTTCTTAGAATCCTGGTAGGGTGGCCGATGCATTTTCGTAACAATATACCTAATAAAGACCCTCCATGTGCTGTTCAACCAATATCATATAGACGAGACGAGATATAGAGACGAGTATAGAGAAAATACCCCACTAGCACACAATGTTGGTCCCATGTTGCGAATACATTGGACCAATATTGTATATTGGCCCAATATTGACATTTTCCAGCCAACACTGGACATTTATTAGCAATACAACTTTTTCTAATATTACCATAGTATATGTATCCATTAATGGACCAATATGCAAATGTTTTTATTTGCATTATTTAGCCAACATTGGACATTTAATGGCAATACAATTTTTTCTAATATAACATTGATATATTTATCCATATCGACCCAATATTAATTCTATATTGGTAAAATATTGTATATGGGTCTAATATTGGCAATTGGTAGCCAATATTGGTAATATATAGGAGATTAACTTTTTTCCTACATTATTATTATATAATATGTGAATCCGATATTGATCCAATACATATTGATAATCCATATTTGGCAATAACTTTTATTCATGTTTATATTTAATATTTATCCAATATTGGTGATATATAGGAGATGTATCTTCTCCATATCAATCATGACTACCGAGAGAGGGCACCACGCGCTACTGATGGCCTTGCTCTTTCCTAGCGTTTGAGTTTCCTTCAAACCTATTTCTTTAAGTTGGTGTGCTTCGCTAACAAGCTCAAAACTGAAAACCGGTCTAGTCTGCAGGTGTTGGAGCTTTGGTTAAATACATGTGTTTTTCCAAAGAGATATTGTAAATATTTCTAGGAGAAATACTACGTATCTATTAATTGGTAATATTGGAGAAATATTTATATTGAAAATGGGATTTATATGAAAAGTACATATTGTGCCAATCTGAAAAACAAATATTGGGTATATTTCTAAAAGCAATATTCCATATTTATTAATTCGCAATATTGGGACAATATTTATCTCCAATATCGGATTCATATTTAAAATATATAGTGAACCATTAAAAAAAAATCTCGCGTTTCCATTCTTGGACCAATATGTAAATATAATATTTCACCAATATTGTTGTGCTACTGGGGTATGTACTACTACATGCTAACCGATCGAAACTAAATATTGTTCTAGTATCCCGCTCAAATTCCATAGACAATATACCACTATATGTTTCCTATCTGGTTGAATCAACCAATGAATGCAGCCTACAAAAAAAACATATTATATTCTTCGAACCTACCTTACCTACCCACCAAATATGGACGAGTTTCCACGTTTTTCCAGGTTTGAGTTCAATGGATCACTTAACTCCCTGGAGGTGCTTTTTCGGCATTAACAAGTTCTTTATAGATTTTTACATGTTTACTAAGATATTGACAGTCAGTGGTTAAAATATGCGTAATTTACACAACTTGTCAGAAGTTGGTCTAACTCAAATTAACACAACCACTGTCATGACACATGTCCGCGAATAACAAAAGAAAAACGTGTATTCTGCGTCAATGTATCTATAATATAAATTCCGACTCATAAACCCAGCTAGGGTAGTAATTCATTTAAGCATAATACAAGCGAATTACAAAGTTATGCCAACGTTTTTTTAAAATTAAATTTGTTCAAGTTTTATCTTGACTTTTATTAGGTGGCTTATATTTTTAATATTGCTTTTTAAATCAAAAAATATTGATCCTTTAATTGCTATTTACTAAACTAATCTAATATATGTCCTAGTGATGGTAGTACCAAAAGGAGTTGGATGTCGAGCACAAATTTAGCTGTAGAAAACAATAAGTCGGGAAACAAAAGCGATAGTGAATTTTCAAATCCATCTTCTTGGATTTCCACTCCTGATTTGGCGAATCTTCAAGATGACACGCAAGCAGTTCCAACTGTCAGTATTAGATTACCAAGAAGAAAGCCAAAAGCTATAGATACAGGTCAAAGGACGGGTATGTAAAATAGCGATGAAATTGTAAATGCCTGGTTTATATATTTTTCGGATATTTGATATTACGAAAGTATAATAACATTACGAAACTATAACGGAGTTATATTAACTGGCATTTTTAATTACGCTAACCCGAACCTCTCATCTTCTTTAGTTGCCCGCCTATTTTTTATTTTATTTTTTTAATTCTGAACCTCACTCTATTTCATCTTTTTTGCCTTTCAAAACCAAAAACCGTTAAGAGCTGCTTTTTTGATACAAAAATTACCTAATACAAATAATTTCTAGTTATTTATGTCATATAAGGCCAACTATTTGCCTCTATTTTCCGGAAAATGAGAGGTTGCCACTAATTTACGGCGTATGTCAAGTTTGTGTAAAATGTCAAATCAATAGATAATATTATGTACCTACGTCACTGGGAACATGGACGCTAATGTAAACGGGCAGACACATTTAGGTACTGGATTATCCGTATTTATTTATGCTGTTTGCTGTTACTTTATTTATGTAATAATTTAATGCATATTGAACATAAAATGTAAAAAAAAAACAAATTATTCTAGTGCCTCGAAATAATATTGCTGTTTCTAATAGATAGCTTTTCATTTATCCAAAATCCAAAAATATAAATAGCATCAAGATTACTTTTAGATTTAGATAAGATTTTTTTTTTTGTGGACATTCCAAAATTTACTAAGGTTTATAAAATTGTTTATCTTTAAGCGGTCTACAAATTGAACTTTATTGTCTTCAGAAGTGATCCATTAGTTCCTAGGACCATAGATATTTTTATGTATAAGGTAATTTGTTCGAGTGACCTATTGATTACAAATTTACCATACGTCGTAAATTTATAGTGGCAGCTGTTTATTTTTCCGAAAATGAATGAAGAGAACAATGAAAAAAGCGATGATTAAGTTTTGAAAAAAAAAACATTGCAGTTCCTTGAAGAGAACATGTTTTATGCAATTCGGCCCCGAAAGTCTTTTTGTGCTTCGCTCAATTCAATTGTAGGCTCAGCACAGAAAGACCTATTTCTTGGCTTAATCACATAAATAACTATTATCTTTAGTTTCAGATAGTTTTTCAGTCATTAAAGAGAATAAATCATCATTATATGATAAAAACGATAGCCTAGCCATGAGAGCAAAGAAACTTCAAGCCATAAAAGAAAATTCAGATAAGGGATCAAGAAGAATACACGTTAAAGAAGTCAAAACAATATCGGAGGAACCAAATAATCATGATGTACAATTTCTTATCCAAGTAATTCATCTGTTTGCGTGTTTTAACCCCTGCATCGATTTTCTAATGCAAAGTTGCTTGGTTTGTAGAATTTCCTCAAATAAAGTTAATAGTTGGTAATTTTAATACAAAAGTTTAACTTAGCCCCCAAATTCCTCAAATGGTCGTAGAAGCATGGTAAGAAGCAAAATCAAAAAAAAAATGTGTTTTTTTAATGTACGCCTACTAAACACGAATTTATTACAATAATTTCAATAAGGCACAGAGGTTTCCTAATGATTCACTAAAAGTGGGTAGGATTTTTCTTAGGCCTTGAAAACCCCTTTTAGTCACAAAGGGATTTAACGCTGCCTCTTTGATCAGCCCCAGAGTGTCGAATAATTTAGAAAAATTATACCTAGTAACTAGGGCTTCGCGAGACCACAAGACTAGTCTTGGTCTTGTCTTGGTCTTGGTAGCAAGACCAAGACCAAGACCAAGACCGAGACCTAATAAATCTTCTCAAGACCAAGACCAAGACTTGACATTCAAGACCAAGACCAAGACTCTCCCTCGAGACTCTCGTCTTGGTCTTGGTCTTGAAAAAAAAATAAAAAATCAACTCAATATTTATAAAAATATGCAAATTCCTATAGGTATCTACTTTTAATGTCTTTCAATTAAATCAATTCATATTTACCTATTATTTTTTCAAATTTACAAGAAGTTATTATAGGTTTTAAAAATACAACATAGTGTAATGGAAGCCAATCATGGTTCTTTTGTAACTTATATTATAATATTTATCATTTTTTTTGTTAATTGAAATTCTAATTTGAGAATAATTGATGTTTGTTTGTTCTTCTGTGTTGTGGAATGCGGTATTTTTTGACATGAAACACTCCTGTTGGTAAAAATAGCCTGTGAAGAAGACCAAATGCATGGTCGAAGCGTCGGCATATTTTTTTCAGAAAGGGAGATTTATTTTTTATTTCTAAAATCCTAAACCCATTGTCTCTGCGCTGTCGTTATATGTTATGTATATTTTAAAATTTTGGTATACATTTTTTTCAAGACTATCAAGACCAAGACCAAGACTATCAAGACCAAGACCAAGACTGAGCCAGTCTTGTCTTGGTCTTCAAACTTCAAGACCAAGACCAAGACCAAGACTGCATTTCTTTTTCGAGATCAAGACCAAGAGTGGCCAGTCTTGGTCTTGGTCTTGGTCTTGGTCTTGGTCTTGGTCTTGGTCTTGCGAAGCCCTACTAGTAACCGTAACACCAGCTTTCCAAATCATATTTTGCTTTTTAGTTTTATTAATCAAAATTGTATTAAACCCTGTATAATGGGCTTCTTATCAAATCCGAAAACATAATAAGAGTTTCTTAAATTAGGTCAAACGGAATTCTAAGTCAGATGAAGGATCATTTGATAGTTCAGGCTCTAGTTCAGATCATGATGACACCATAAGTAATGCTGGCACAGAAACCACTGATACAACTTTAGTCGGAGCTGACTTCGAGCTTAATGAGCAACTAGAAAGCCTCAGAAAAGAGCTGGACATGACTAAAGCTAAATGTGAACGATTAGAGCGAGATAAAAGTGACTTTTTACTTAGAAGACTGGCAGCAATGGAAACAACTACAAGCAAAACCACAGCTACGGAGGTACTAAAACTACAACAAAAATGTAACGAATTGCAACAGCAAATGGAAGATCTTAAAGATGATAAACGTAGCTTAACATTGAGAGTTAAGGAACTTGAAGCTGATTTGGATCTTAGACCAACTGTTCAAGAAGCTCAAAAAATAGCGGACGAACTTAGATCGAAATTATTAGCAGCTGAAACTGTGTGTGAAGAATTAATGGATGAAAATGAAGACATAAAGAAGGAACTTAGAGATATGGAGGAGCAGATTGATGAAATGCAAGATAATTTTAGGTATAAACCATATTACAATAATAGAATTCAAGCACAGAATTGAGTTAAAAATGCGAATTAGACTCCCATTTCCTTGATTATTTATTATGTTGCAACGTTCCAATCGATGTCATCTTCGATCGTTTCCAAGCGAATGACAATTTTCCTACGACTACGAGCGTATACAGGGTGTTTCAAGAACATCGGAACAGAGACGTTTTACGGTACTTTGAGGTCGATTAAAAAAACGCTCGGTCGATTAAAAAAACGCTCGGACACGTTAATTTTGTATTCAAAAGGGGAAACTTTTCGACCCCATCGGTATTTCGCTAGAGTGCACCCCCTGGGTGGGGTGACTTTCACCCCTCTTTTTTGGATAGGGAAGATGTGTCGAGTGATACCTTGTTTTAAAGGTATTTTGATTCTCGTCACAACTGCGTAATTTTTTTTGAAAATCGAATAATTAGTTCTCGAGATATTTACTGTCAAAGTTGCCATGGGCTAAATGAGAATAGTATATTAAATTAAAATACAAGTTGCAGAAGGCCACATATTCCCGCACGAGCGACGTAGGAGCGAGTGGACGAACGAATGAGTTTGGGAATAGCCTTCTGCAACGTGAATTTTATACTATTTTCTCGATTTTGGATTTTGTTTATAGTTTTTAAAAAAAAAATGTGGTCTCTGTTAGTTGGGGATTTTTCTTATTGACAAATATGTCAGTTGGTGACACTTATTCACCAACTAACTGACAGGTGAATTTCATTATTTTAGAAGGTTTGACAATTTTGAGGGTATACCAATAGGTAGGTACCTACTTTGAAAACTGAATGTCACTAAAAATCGTTGAAGAATGAGCTTCATTCTTCAACGATTTTGCTTGCAAGAATATGACATTTTTACACCAAAATTGAGAAATATTTTTCTGGCCCTGGATTCTAAAATTAATACTTTCCTGACTTTTATCTCGGACACGTCAATTTCAATTTTTTCAGAAGCACACAAAAAATGAAAATTGATGTGTCCGAGAAGAAAGTCAGGAAAGTGTTAATTTGAGAATAACAGTTGTGACCAGTATTAAAATACCTTCATAACAAGGTATCACTCGACCCATCTTCCCTATCTAAAAAAGAGGGGTGTAAGTCATCCCACTCAGGGGGTGCACCTTAGCGAAATACCGATGAGGTCAAAAAGTTTCCTCCTCAAATATAAAAATGACGTGTCCGAGCTTTTTTTTAAATCGACTTTAAAATACCCTAAAACGCCTCTGTTTCGATGTTCGTGAAACACCCTGTATACTGAAAAAGGGTAAACGTCCAAAAAGTGTTGTAAATCGATTCAAAGAGATTCGTGGTTTATCGCAATATTCCTGCAATTAGACTTTGTTAATCTATATTAATATTAGGAGGTAAACATTTCTGTGGATCTGAATGTGTTGGAGTAGGAAGTAGGGGAACCGCAAAATTCACTGCACTTATAGGTCCTCATATTATTGCTTAAAGAAACTGTTTTTTGATTCCCAGCAACTAATTTTTTAGTGAAGAATTCTTCAGCGGAAATATTTGGTGATTCCTATAAATATGAGTGAGTGTATATTGAAATATTTCCAATAATTTACATGGGATGAAAATGGAAAATCATCTTAATTAATTTTCATTGGAAAAATGATTGAAAATCCATGATCCTAATTTTATTACAATAAGAATTGAATAATAGGCCAATGCCAATATTACAAATTCAGTGATTACTTTTAAGTTTGAGTGTGTGTATATCAATAAATATCCTACGCACCCTGTCTGAATTTTCTTTTGACCTGACTATAAAACTTAGTATTGCTATTCGAATGATTTGTGAATTGACTCTTGAATATTTATACTATGGGTTTTTGAGCGGTTAGTTAGCTTCTCAACTGGTTGTGCCATCTATTGACAATTTTGAAAATAAGGATCTAAAGTCTTTTGCGCATAAATTCCGCACCCGCGCACCGCGAATTTATTTATTTTTTGTTGTTTTTTTTTGTAAATACATACTAACAGAAACAATCCAAAACAAGTCTGTTATTTTTTTATAAATATTGTTCATGTCTGAAATACCTCGACTCCAGTGGCTGAAAAATTTGTATCATAATGAAAATCTGTATCATTAATTAGCGTATTATAAGCGTATTATAAGTTACGAGTAGAACGATGATTTTAGAACCTTCTTCTAGTTAAGAAAGTGTAATTAAAAAATACTTATGGGAATAAAAATAATAAAATAATAGCGATTTTTTAAAAATACATGAATAATTGGCAGAAACTAAAGGACCACTCGAGATCTGAATAAAAGAACACAGAACTAACACACAAAAAGGAGGAATAGCCACATCGTGTATTAGATCATACGTTTGGTGCAACCGGAGGGTAGGTACAACCAACACAAAAAACAATGAAGAGAAGCAAGAATAATAAGAAAAGAAAAACATTAGTTTCGTCCCTTTCTAGGAAATTGATTCCTTGTTAGTATATAATCTCTTATTCGTAAGAAAATTATCATTCGCACAAAACAATAAGAGATACACATCGATTGTTGCGTCAAATGAAAGTTCGATAAGATTTTTTTTTTCAACAGAATGATTAGCTATCCATCACCTTCAAACAAACAAAAAAGTTAGAGCTCGGATTCACATAATATCGCTTATTAATATATTTTCATTTTCTAGGGAAGATCAAGCAGTAGAATATACGTCTATAAAAAAGGAGTTAGACCAAACAACTAAAAATTGTCGAATACTCTCATTTAAACTTCGAAAAGCTGAACGCAAAGTTGAACAGCTGGAAAATGAAAAAACCGAAATGGAAAAAAAGATTAGCGAGGTTGTTGTAAAATAAATTTGCCATTTTTTAAAACGTAGATCTTTATTCACATTTTAGGTTTCTGGTAGTGGCACTCTTTCGCATTTGGAAAGAATTAGACAATTGGAACAAGACTCGAAAGTGTCTTATGAAGTATCCCTGAGGCTACAAAAGGAGTTGGAAGAATCTAATAGAAAATTAGCAGAAAGTACTAAAATAGCATCTACTACAAAGAAAGCACCGCCTCTCGGTTCGGCAGGGAAAAGTCCTTCCAGTGAAGGGGTAAGAGTTATTTTGAAACCATACCAGTTTTCAACCAATGAAATTCGCTCTGACTGGTTTGTGATTTCTATAGAAACACACCTAATATTGGAAGGTCGTCAGATCGGTGTGGGCGCCCAGCAGGGGGGCTACCATGTACGGCGATGAGAAATGCATCAAGGCTCAGAGTATTTTGAACGACAAAGGTAGAGGGATGCGGAGTATAAACGGAATTGTTGACAAGAACGAGATCTGAACGTCTGCTTAAACCTGGCTTTTAATAGCGACTGGCTTCTGCTGATTAAGTCTGCAGGGAATGTGGGTGTGAGAAATTGTGGATCCACAATACGCTTATTTACCGTAAAAATGATGCTGTCCAGATTCTTATAAGATTCCTTAGCGAGTGAATGCCTGTGATGATGAGCCAATCTCTGTTGTAAACCAGCTAGCTAGCGCTTGTCCTTCTGGCCAACTCTCAAATCATCTGATTGTACTACTGACGGGGAAAAAAAAACAACAAAGAATGAACTGAATAATGAAGAAAGCGAATAGTGTTTCAACCAAAGTAGGACAAAAGATGATGATTGATGAATAATAATAAAACAAAAACAATGTCAAGCTAACCGAAAGATCTCATAATCACAGTAGAGTAGCAGAAACAAAAATAGAACAAATCACGGGATATTTATACCTAAGCCAAATTATGGAACCGAATAAAGAAAAACACACAGAAGACGGAGGTTTTTTTTTTGGAATCATTCGGAAAACTTTCCAATATTCTGAAGATTAAAAAAGTCTTCAATCAGTGTAGGCAGTGAATACTCCGAGACCTCATATACGGCTAAGGATAGGTACATCAAGACTGGAAGACAAATCTAAACATCAAAGTGGCGGACCGAAAGAGAAAAAGTTGGATTCGTAATGGAACGGTAAGTTAAATATGTCTCCCTACAAGCACTAAGATTGACGTAGATATTTCCTGCACTTTTACAGCACTGTTCGCAATAATATAATTACGACCGTTGTGATATCACATATTTGGAGGGTTTGATGGGTTTATACACTTGGAGGTCAGTCTTCGTAAGCGTCTGCCCTCTCCTGCGATAATGTCGCCTACAGTATATAATAGGTATGTCCTTCTCGGCCTCTGTTGTCACACTGGTTCTCACTGGTGGTTTTCTTATTTTTGAATAAAAATCTTTCTATCAAAATATGATCGAAAACAAATTCAGCTATACGTTAGATCTTTCTCTGTTTTATAGATCTTGCATCTTCCATATCATTGTGGAGGGTTCTAGGATCGGGTCAAAGAAGTACGATGTATCTTTTATGTTCGGCTTGTTTCTTATCGTCCAGTGTTTCTTTCCTATGTGTGCCACCTTGTTACGATGTAGTTGAATACGCCGTTACTTATCTTGTCAGTAGGAGATTACATCACCTGCGAAAGTCGGACTCATATGGAGGTTAAGGGCCATCTCCGTAATTTTAAGCCACTAAATCAAGACATCGTATTTAGGGGGTAATGGTTTTTGCAAAGATTTCGCAAGTAAGGTACGTTAATAGGGCAGCGTCGTACCCCAGAATGAGTTATGAAACTATAGAATAAAACTTTCGGATTGAGATTGTCCAGTTTTTACACATTTGATAGGACTAAGCCATATTTTGTCTCAATGTCTTTCTGCACAAAAATCACTTTTGACAGCTAAAAACACTATGAAAACAATCTTGAGACGCTTTCTATTGAAATAAATGAAGACAACTCAATAGCCTTCCTGGCGCGGTTGTCACGTTGAGAAATAAATAAGGAGACTTCAATCATAACAATTTTATCCCAACTCTATGAATAGTTTGTTTTTCCATTGAAAAGTAAAATAAGATTTTATAGTTGTGCAAGCCTTATTTAAAGTCTGTCGCTCCCTACATTAAAGCGCCAATGGTCACCTGACGTCACACCTGTTTTTGCCATAAGCTTCACCCCCTCGCTCCTCATACGGAAGTGTCAGATTACAAACGACGGAGAATAAAATTCAGTCAAATTTGATAATGGTTATTTATTATTTTTCTAATTCGAGACATAATATTCTCCCAAAAATAAAATTGGCAGTGTACTCAATATCCTGATATTGTTTGAAATAAGGTCGTTAAAGTCAAAATATATACACAGTGTCCACTTAAGTTCGCAGCACGTGAGAAACTTTCTTATTATCAATTTTATGAAAAAAAGTTATTTGTCAAAAAAGTTTCTGCTTCTTGAAAAAATAATATTAAACTATTAAAACTTGAAATAGCATGTACAGGGTGGTTGGAAAATAGAAAAATATACAAGGGGTTTCCTAAGTAAGGTTCGTAGCTTCAGGATGTGATTCCTTATAATATTTTGAGAAAAAAAAGTTTCCATAAACATGTGTCCGGAAATACATAATTTCTGAGATACAGGGTGTCAAAGTTTCAAAAAAAATTGTTTTTTTATTTATAGCTCAAAAACCCCTTTCTCGATTTTCGATAAACTTGGCAGATTTGTTTGTGATAACAAAGGTATCCTTTGACTCAATTAGATTAACCGTTATTGTGCCAGTGGCGCCCCAGTTATAAAAAATAATTGACGTGCCATTTTTTTTTCGAACTTTTACCAACGAAATTGTTGCTCTGGGGAGCCACTGCCATAATAACGGTAAATCTAATTGAGTCAAAAGATACCTTTTGTTATTGCAAACAAATCTGCCAAGTTTATCGAAAATCGAGAAAGGGGTTTTTGAGCTATAAATAAAACAACGATTTTTCTTTAAAACTTTGACACCCTGTATCTCCGAAATTACGCATTTACGGACACATATTTATGAGAACTTTCTAAAAATATTATAAGGAATCACATACTGAAGTAAAGAACCGTACTTAGGAAACACCCTGTATATTTTTCTATTTTCTAGCCACGCTGTACATGCTATTTCAAGTTTTAATAGTTTAATATTATATTTTCACGAAGCAGAAACTTTTATGAAGAATAAAATTGATAATAAAAAAGTGTCCCATATGCGGCGAACTTAAGTGGACACACTGTACATATAACCTTGCTATCGTTTTTTATTCCTCCGAGATATTACTTGATTGTCGAAAAGATTCTATAATTTTTTTTGCGGTGCCAGTAGATGGTTACACAAGTAGATTTTGTATAGGTATTAGCTCGAGGATACCTCATTCTCTGTTATACCTAGAAGTGTCCGTTTCGCTAGTGTTTCTACAATAATATATACCTATGAAGTTATACAGTATTTTTAACACTTCTTGAAGCTCTACTCAGTTTGCTGAATCACTAGATAAGATATCAAGGAAATAAACTGCTGAACAATTGCTTTCGAACAAGGTAAATATCGCCTAAGTTTCAAGATCGATATTTCTGGAACCAGAATAGATATCGACCTGCGGTTTTCACGGGCTGACAGATTGACTTTTTGTAAAAGAAACTGGTATTTAGAATTTTTTTTAAATGTCTAATTTTTTTTTATACAGGGTGTTAAAAGAGTCCATGATTTTCATCCCAATTTTAAAAGTGTGTAACTTTCTCAGATAATTTTTTAATTTTTTTTTCTATGCGGCGTTTTAATCAATGATCTTCTGCAAAAAAAGTAATTTCTCAAATTTTTTATACCTGCCTTAGTTTTAAAAATACCGATTTTTTTTTATAACCTCCACTTTTTTCAACTTTTAAGCACCTGAACCATCCTGTACAATAAATCTTGCATCTTATGTTGCTGTTTGATATACCCCACGATATCCTGGTTTATTTTCAAAGAAAAAAAAAATACTAAAATAATGTGGTGTCCAGTAGCGTACTAATAATCGCCTATTTTCGGAATTATTTATCAATGGCTCACCGAATTTTACATTCAAAGGTGCATAATTTTAAAAATAATCATTTGAAGTTTCATTTGTTTAGTTCACTTTAATCATTGACATATTATTAAGAAACCAGTTTCTCAAAATTTTGATATTTGCCTCTGTTTCTGAAATATCGTTTATTTAACATAACCATATTAATTTTCTCAACTTTTCCGTTCTAAACCATCCCGAATCGTTCTTACCGGTGAATTTTTTTAGCAATTGTCATACCTTTCAGCCAGCGTATTTACTGTGATTAAAAATATCGAATACCTCAATGATATGCTGAACAGTGGCGTGCAAACAGAAATTATTATTTTTCATTAAATCAATTTTATTAGCAATTGTTATATCTTTCGATTAGCTTATTTTTATGATTAAAAATTTCGAATACCTCAATGATATGCTGTACAGTGGCGTGCTAATAATTATTTATACCACTGATAAAATTTAAATATTCGGAACCGATTTCGTTGTGGTGAGAGGAAACCCGAACTTTTATTACCTGCTAATTTTCTTTGTAGCTTCATGATTAAAGGTATTTCAATTAAAAATTCTTCCACTAATCGTAGCAGTATCAAAAAATAAAGTTAAGGATGGTAAATTACATTATCTGCCAAACAAAAAATTATATGAACAACGTTCATGCTTCTTTAAGTTGATTTAAAACAAAACACAAAAAGTGTTCCTATAGGTTTTTTACGTTATTTTTAGGATAACGTCGTAGAACAAGGACTGACAATGTTGTCAATGCCTTTTTTTTCCTTATAATTTACCAGAATGTAATAATAAATTATCAAGACCACTGACAGCTAGAAATAACAAAATGAATCGACACGTGTTATTTATTTGAAAATGTTTATTCAAATCATACAACGTCGCGCGCCGTTGTCAACCGGTAACATCTGAAATTCCCCTACTTTAAATGCGTTAAGAAGTACTTTCAGTTTAGTTAGGTAGATACCTAGGTAAAACGTATCAAAATAAGTGAACTAAAAAACTAATCAAACTAAGATTCAATAACAACAACAAAGTGACCTAAAAGTTGAGTAATAAACAACGTAAACTAAAAAAATTAATAAAGAACGGCAGATAATCAAAGTTATAGTTAGTAAGCCGTCTCCTCACATTCACAACCTCTTGGC